CGGGAGTCATTAGCGCCGACGTGAATAACAACCTTACTGTATTTACGCTTATCCTTAGTCAGCAGCTTCAAATAGGATTCAATGTCGCCCGCTCTGGCCTCAGGAAAACATTGGACTATGGCCGCCGGTGTCTCTAGCTTCACGTTTCTGACTATGGAGTCTCCAATTACCAGTTGTTTTCTCAGCGGGTGTGTCACTGAGTGGGGAAAATCGATTTGAAACGTGAACAGGCAGGTGATGCTCCGTGGATATTCGTTTGGAGCTACGACTCTTGCGAACTGTCACCCAGCCACCTGTCTGAGATCCCGGCTGCTCGTGAAGCTGTGGGGGGCGGCTAACTTGGGCTAAGCTACGTCTAGGAGGCTCCACACCGGCTACATGGGCATAGCTAGCTGGCCTATTCTCCATGGGGTGGAGCCGCGCTTCTAAGTCTGTGAGCCTCGCCTCCAATGCTGCTAGCATCTGACATTTATTACAAGTACCATTATCGCTAAAGGAGGCAGAGGAATAACTGAACATGCGACACTCCGAGCAAGAGAAAGGAGGAGAGGAAGAGGGGGAAGCCATTGCTCTCGATTAAGCTACTAGCTTAGCTAGCTTCTAAACTAGCCGACCTAAAGTAGCAAGTTAAATTTGGTAGTTAGCAAGAACTTCTGCAAAACAAGTGCTTTAAGTGGTGCAAGCGTATGTTGTCACTCAAAAATTCAGATGAACCTAGAAAATAGTGAGTTTAATTCCTAAACAATCTGGAAGGAAGCACAACGCAGTGCAGGTACAGAAAACAGGAAATGAGTACGGTTTACCGCAGGAAACAGCAGTCCGTCAAAGGTTCCCCTTGTATCAATACAGTTTGATTATCTGTGTACAGTGTCAGTATTGTGTGACATCACGATGTTAAACAAAAAGCACATTTTAATTATGTATACAAAGTCTCCCACATACCCCCAAATCTCTCCACTCTTACCTGAGAAGCACTCTAGGAAGTCTTGCTCCAGTTTCAGGGCTCGGTCCATTCCTTTCCTGGCCTGCTCCTCTGTCAGGCGGGTATTGATCTCTCTGTAGACATCATACATAAAATCTTCTCTTATAACAAGCTTTAATGATGAGTACTCTCTGCCTGAACCAAGTATTTCAGATGTATAAAAACAACAGTGACAGTACATACAGGACATTCTCCAGTGACTTGGGCCGGACAAAGATGGCAATGGGATGAAGCTGAGCTGCTTGTAGTCTGCGCACAGCGTTGGCTGATACATCCAGGATGCAGTGTTTCCCCTGCTGCTCGT